CAGCTTGCCCAATTTCCTGAGTAAGTGCCCAGAAGCACCTCACTCTGCAACTTAGCCTCACGCACAAAACCACTCAGCTTTCTTTGCTTCATAGGTTGGGACGTCCTTCACTCTGTTCCATGTTCTGGCTCCTGATTCTGGGGCTGCTCCTCTGACGTGAGAGCGGTCTCCTTGATCCAGAAGGTGAGCTAGTAGGGATCTTTGGTCCAGAGGATGTGCTTCAATTCCACCTCTTGCTGGTAATGACATCCCTCCTCCTACTTCTCAGACGACTCATTTTATATGCAGCAGGATATGGCATTGCAGGGAGTCATGTTCACAATTACTCACCGGAAAATCCTATCAGTATTTTCCTGCATCTTCTTGCCAGACTCAAGCAAGAAACTGCTGTTTGGTGGGAGATACTTTGGCTAGACAAACCACATTAAATATAATTCACGGCTCCTGCCCCATCTAAATGCAGAAAGGAGATAAACTTTGATAGATGTCCGATGGTTCATTGTGTATCAGGTAACTGCTTGAGATGCTCTCATGAACATATACAAAAAAATGAAAAAAAACAGAAGAGGGCGAAAAAATCTCACTCGTATTAAGTAAGACTTAGGTTTTGCTAGATAACTGTTGTGAACGAGGTGAGAAACAAGTTGCTAAGTGCACCAATATTTATTGCGCACTCACTTTATGGAGAGTTCATGTACAAGTGGATTAGATTACAAAGAAGCCACACAGAAAAAGACATTCTGACTTCTTTATATAGTTTTCAGGTCCAAGATTTTCATTTTTAGAGAGCCCGTTGTCCATTAAATACTCTATGTTCTTATCCAATTTATTTGACATAAATATTTTGTGAGGTCTGATAATGTACCTATTTGGGTATTATCTGGAATTGTTTCTACTGATGGTTTTCTCTCTTAGTTTTCAGTAATTTCAGGTTTTCCTGATAATGCTTGGTGCTTTCCGAATGCCTGCTGAAAAGTGTATATAAAATGTTTTAGAGATATTATTAAAGGCTTTAGATTATGCTATCTTTCTCTAGAGAGGACTTCCTTTTGTTTCTCCCAAGTCGTTTGAGGCAGATGATATCAGTCTAGGATTGAAATTATTCCATATTTACAAGGACTGGACTATTTCTAGTTTTCCTTTACTTGTAAGGTACAGATCACATAGGTGTTCCCGGGGAAATCTCCAAATGTCAACCAGGTCTTGGGTAGATCTTTTTTGGTTGCCTAACTTCTCTTTCCTCAACCATATTAAGTTGCTGAAAGCCCTGCTCAACTTTCCCACCGGAATTTTCTTCTTCATTTCTTTGAAAGAAAAAGAAAATGCCCTGGGATTCTTGTCATGTAATTGAGGTCACCCAGTAGTTCTCTAATGCCTTTAAATGTTTTGTTTTTTTTCAAATAATCATTTTTGTTTTAATACATCCCTTATTGTTTGCAGTGGGAAAATTTGACGCAACTTATTCCACTGAAGTTAACAATGGAAGTCTTAATGTCTACTATAATCTAAAACAAATTATTCCCTTTGGTTCAGCATTTCTACTTCTTGGATCTTATCCTAAAGATGAAGTCTTACACCCCACCCCCAAATATATATATATATATATACACACACATATATATATAAACACACACACAAGATCGTTCATCAATAAAGACGTATCTAAAGTATTATTCCAATGTTTCTTTCAACTTGTGTATCATGATTGTGGTACTGTTGACAATGTTTGACATGGAGCAAGACAGGGAGAAGATAGGTACTTGAACTAGAATATGGTTACAATAATTACCAAAGGAAACACCAAAACACTTACGCTAAGCATACAAAGGGACAGATAACAAGAGAAGTAAGTAGAATAAAAAGGGCTTGGGGCCTTATTGATAAACAAAGAAGTATTCAAAATTAATTCCACCACGTGTATGTCAGTTTGAATTGAAAGTAGAAGTCTAGATGTGTTGAAGACATTGACAAACAATAAGGCTCCAGGAACTGATGGAATACCAACGGAAATGATTCAACAAATTGATGCAGTGATGGAAGTACGGAAGACAGCTGTCTGGCCAACCAACTGGAAGAGACCCACCTTGGGCCCAGTCCAAAGAAAGATGACCAACAGAATGCAGGAATTATCAAACAATATCATCAACGTCATATGCAAGTAAACTTTTAATGATGATAATTGAAAGAATGGTTGCAGCAGTATAACAGGGAACGACCAAAAATTAAAGTTGGATTCAGAAGAGGATGTAGGATAAGGGATGTGATAGCTGACATCCAGTGGATCTTAGCTGAAAGCAGAGAATATTAGGAACATGCTCACTTGTTTTTTATTGATTACACTAGCATCTGACTCCATGCCTCATAACAAACAGTGGATAACAATACAAAGAAAGAATAATAGAGCACTTACTTGTGCTCATACAGAAACTATACACAGATCAAAAGGAGCTACTGAAGAGTTTAAAAACAGGAAATGTATGTCTTAAGGTCGTATCCTTTCACCCAAATATTCAAGCTGTCTGCTGAGCAAATAATTTGAGAAGCTGAAGCTGGACCACATGAAGAAGAATATGGCGTCCATATTAGAGGCAGGCTCAACACAGTTTGCTGAAAACAAAGAGGGCCTGAAGCACTTATTGAAGAAGCTCAGACTACAAAGACTAAAGCCTTCCGTGTGGATTACACCTCAACATCAAGAAAGACTGACCAGAACAAAAGAAGAAAGCCTGGTAGAGGATTACATAATGAACACCCCTGGTAGGCGTTTAAGAAGGGAGGAGTATTTATGCCTTTGACCAACAGGGAGTAAAAGCTGTCTATATGGTACGGTAAAATGAAGACTGAGGGCGTTCTTGGTAAGAGCTAAAGTCACTTAGTAGAAAAGTCAGAAGTCAGACTTCAGATACATGAAGCACCTGGGAGGTGACAAAGCACAGATAAGGAATACAGATAAAATCAGGCCTGTCCCCATTTACATTACTATCATTCTGTGTTTTGCTGGGAGGGAATGTTTACCTTGGGAGTGGCTTAGCCCTGTTTTAATACTGATATAAAATAGACAGTAAAGAGAGAGAGGTTATCAAGGGTTCATGAGGGAAGGGGAGCAGGGAGGAAGGGGGAAAAGGAAGAGCTGATGCCAAGGGCTTAAGTGGAGAGCAAATGTTTTGAGAATGACGAGGGCAACAAATGTACAAATGTGCTTTACACAATTGGTGTATGTATGGATTGTGATAAGAGTTATACGAGCCCCCAATAAAATGATTGAGAGAGAGAGATTAAAGATACTGTGGGGAGTAGGATGATTGTTGAGGTCCCTGAAACTAGAGCACAGATGGGGATTAGCCACAGTCATTAACAGTTGGACTTTTCTCCAATTGTTCCAGAAAGCAAGACAGATGTGGGTTCACGTAAGTCTGTAGGCATGCTGGTGGGAAGAAGAAAATTTTATAGTATGATATTTTCCATTTTCTTCGTAAAGACAAGTAAGTTAGACACACAAAGTGAAAGATGAAGGGATTAGAGATTTCAGGAGAGCAGAGATGGAATGAAATGGCCCAAACAGGAAGGGAGAACTAATTTTTCAAGGGAAATATACAGTTGCCAGGCCATGTTGAAGATCTAGCTGGGGTTGACTCAAACAATTTCCTCATTTGAAGTACCCTATCATAATATCTGCGCTACCTCATAACCACCACCCAGCAATCACTAAACTCTTACTTCCTTTTCCTACAAAGACATGCTACCTGTATGGTATTTGAACTCCCAATTTCAAACCTTAGAGGCAGCTTAGAAAAGGTTCTTTTGTGAAAGTGACCCTCCTTAATTCCCAAAGCCAACTTCCTGTAACTTCAGTTTCCTTCCTTATCAACACCGATTTGGCAGAAGCTAGATTCCGTTTGA